ACCTGAGCCGAAGACAGACGCTTAACCAACTGAGCCACCCAGGTGCCCCTAAATAAAATCTTTTTTAAAAAAATAATAAAACCAGTCCTTGTATTACTGGGCTTACATGTATCTTCTGATACAGAAACCAACCAAAGTAGGTATCTTAAAAACTTTCCTAAGTCACCAGCTTTCCATAAGAGTGACAGGAGAATCCTAGACCAATATAAGACAGCAAAAGTGTTTGCTCCTTTGTACTCCCAGAGTGGCCTACAGATAGTTCTAAAATAGTTCAGCTCAGTCACTCTTGCCCACATTGTGTTAGAGTCAGTTAAAGGCCCCACAGTGTGACCCACCCAGATAACATGTTTGACCCCTGAGGGGCCTAGGAAACAAGTCTGGACGTTATTAGACATCTAGTTCAAATTTAGCTTAAATCTTGACCAGGAAGACGCCTGCCAGAACACCTGGTATATCCATCAACATAAATGTGTTTTAGTCATGAGAAACTCCCAGCCTTTTCCTGTTTTCTATCTCCAAGCAATCGAGTAAGTTAAAGGTCACCTGTCGAAATACAATCTGTTTAAAATAGGTACCCAAAACAAATAGCAGCAAACGACTAGGAAACCCTAATGCTTTATGGAGCTATTGTATTCCCAAAGGTGCATTTTTACATTTATTCATTCAAATAATCAAAAAACATTGATTGCATAACTACGATTTATTAGGCATTGGAAATACGAAGATACATATTCTACAATAGGAAGTACTAGTCCTAGAACCAAGGGTCTGGATTCTAGATCCAACAAGAACTTCAGCCAGGAGGCACAACCCCACTCTGCCACTGGTTCTAGAATGCTCCTCACCACCAACACAAGCTGGTTGGCTGTGTGTATGAAAGGAAAATTCTCCCTTGGTGCTTCCTGCTTAGATTACTCTTGGGGCAAAGGCATGGATAGGTTCCCAAATGGGACCACCAAAGAAAAATGGAAAAACATATCTAATATAGTAGGGTAAACATAAGACCTGTTACCTAAATTACTTACCTAGATGACAACATAATTATTGTTTCCATTTTTCATGTAACTACCACCAATACTTAATCATCTACTATGTACTACAAATTGTGCTAAGGTCTTTGGAAATATTATTGCATATGTTATTGTTAATCTTTCTGACTTTACAGGTGGAGAAATCAAGGCCTGAATGGATTAGAAATTTGCCTCAAGCCACTTGCCTTGAATGGATCCAGAATTCAAACTCGAGATTGAGTAAATAAATTTGAATGGGAAGTCATAATACTGTCAACTTTCCATTTGCCAGTTTAAAAAAAATACTAACATTTCATAAAAACAAGGACATTTTAATAAGCCAAAACAAGGGGAGACCTAATCTTAGAGTAAAAGATAGTAGGCTCAGTTACATAAACATAGCTTCATGGAAAACTTAGTACACTGCCTTTATTTTCTTCATTGAGCTGTGGACTTGCTCTAATCCCAGGCCCAGTATTTACCACCTGGGGCACACTGTTGCTTATAAGTGATCTAATTTCCTTCAGTTCTTTGGTTCTTTACAGCTGGAGGGGTGGTCACGTTTTTAAAAGGATGTACGTGTACTTTTCAGCTCATCTTATCAGACACTTGCTACCTTTTCAGGTGATTTCAGTGGAGTCACTAAAATTCAGACATCATTTCACTAAACACAGACTTCTGGAAGTCCTAAACTGCAATGTGAATAGTTAATTTGCTTCCCGGTGTATCTCCCTTCCTTTCTACTGTTCATTATTTGTGGGGTATTTCTTCCATTCATATTATAAATTTTTAGTATTGAATTTATTTTTTTACTCTTGAAGTTGGTAGAGTTGTGTGATTCTTTTAAATTACAAATCATAGAATTTGCTTTCCCACAAGGGCCAGAAGTAAACATTGTGTTCTTTGCCTCAGTCATACAACCTAGCCCTCATTCATAGGGGAAATGAAGTTAGAGCACAACGGCAGTCATGTTCAAAAAAAGTGAAATAAGTGGCTCTGGAATTTCAAAGCATTTTCACAGACAGCCCCTCAAGTGTACCCCACGGCAGCCCCATGAAGGAGAGAGAGACTGATCTCCCATGTTGCAAATGGGGGGCTGAGACACCGAGGGAGGAAGTGACCCCAAGGTCTGACCACGGGTGGGTGAAGGGGCCAAGACTACCCCTCCAGACTATTTCAGTCACGCTCTTCAAACTGCATTTTTACCTTTCTTGTCTTCATTCATCTGACAATATTATTGAGCACTTTCTCAGGAATGAGAAGGCATGGGGAGAGTCCAGCTGACGATGTGAAGGTCAGTACCACCTAATTCCCATGTTTCAGGGCGCTCACAGTCCTTTGGGGGTGGAGGCAAATATATAAATGACATTAGAACAAGGCGGAATACATGTCCTGCTCAAAAGCCTGAAGTCATGCATCACAAGGACCCAAAGAAGGTAGCACTCCTGTGGTTGAGCCTTACTGCCTCACACTCACATGTGTTTTCCCATCCTCTGAGTTAGATGTGCAGTGTTCCTCAAAATGAAAGTTCCGGACCACTGAAGCACTTAAGGAGTGCTTGTTAAATACGGATTCCTGGGCTCCACCTCAGACCTTCCCAAATAAAAATCTCTTGGAACCCAGGAATTTTTTTTCAATATGGAACACTTGACAAATGTGCATGTCATCCTTGCACAGGGACTGCGCCAATCTTCTCTGCGTCACTTCAGGACATGTACATTTCAGGACATGTACTGCTGAACCGAGCTTGAGAATTTGTGTTTTTAACAAGCTTCAAGGTCATTCTGATGCACATTCCAGATTCAGAATCTCTGTTCTAAGGTTTCCATATATATATATATATAGAGAGAGAGAGAGAGAGAGAGAGATGAAATCATAAGACGGCATCCACTTTTTGTCATACTAAATAACTCCACTTACGCTACCCCATGAACACTGATTCATCAGAATGCTATTTGTCTCTAAAATACTTTAATAAAATAAAATAAAATGAATATTTTTCTTAGAAAATTAGCTAGCTAGCTAGCTAATCTATTAGAAAACTCAGTGATACACTTCCTTCCTAAGAGCAGCTTTATTGCCTCAGCCACAGAAAAACTGTGTTAACCACAGCACTGCATAGTCCTGGCCAGTGAGCATCAGCACTCCTTACTAAATGTATGTTCTACTGTGTTTTCTTGAATTAAATATGCTTGCAATGTGTGGCCTCTCTCCATGCAACTTTCTGGTGAGTTCTGGTTCATAATTTTGATCCAGAGTGCTATCAAAAGATGATAGTCCAGGTAGTGCCATCAAGATATACAAAAGAGCACTATGTTGGATGCTAAATCTTTTTAAGTAGCTCAAGGTGACTTTAGGGAAATGGTTGTAGCACAGAAGAAAGGTCAGCAAGGATTCAGGGTGATGGAAATCTTTTGACATTATAAAAGGGATCATAAACATCTCTTCTATCAGGGAGGATGAACTAACAATTATGACTGCTAATGGGAAGACACTATAGCTTGTGACCTCAGGAGATTGAAAGAGAGGATAAAAGCCACTTAAGAGGAACCCCTGGACTCAGGGACTTGACCAAAACAGCCTGTTCACTTAAACTCGCCTGGAGCACATAGTCCTGAAGTGAAGGGGAGGGATGCCTACACTGAGGCTGGGCTTGCAGCCTCCAACACGCCAGTGTTTCACTGTAGCCAGTGGGAATAGTTACAACATGCTAGAACAGTGGTTTCAAACCTCAGAGAATCCAGGTGATACTGAGACAGGGTCCTGTGCCCCACTGCTAGGTATTCTGTTTCAACAAGACTACGGGATGGCCTGAGAATCTGCATTTCTAACAGGCTTCTTGTGATGCTTTACAGTATTGGTTCTTGCACCACACATTTTATTTTTTATTTTTTTGCCAATTTTATATACAGTTTTAACTGGCCCTGATCACTATCTGTAATAATGGAACAGATTTCTCTGCATTAAACTAATATGTATATATAGCATCCAACCTAAATACTGTGTCCATTACTTGCATCACGGTTTAGGAAACTTAACTAAGCAGAAAACCAGTTGGCATGGCACTGTGGTACCTGAAACATAATTATGTCTCGTGATTTCCCAATACTCTTTCTTTGACCATTAATCATATCCACTAATCTTTTGTTGTTTTTGCCATTGTTGCCTTGCCCACAATAACATGGGTGGGGGGAGTGGGGGTGGAAGCCAAATGTTACAAGTGTTAATTGTGGCATTTTAAAAATCAAATCAAAATAGCAAAAATCATGAAAAAATAATTCATGAAAGCTGACAAGCCTTCACCCTTAATCATCATCTCAAGGTTAAATAATGATCAGAATTCTTTCAGTTGAAGTACTTATGTTGCATCTTGATGTTTGACTATCATATAAATATAACTGTGCTATTAGGCTCTATTTTTCATCGCAGATGAAATTGATGCATCTTTGTGTGGTGGAGTCTGACATAGTAAAATTGTTACTCTCTAGGTAGGATATTCATAAAAATATAATTATCGTAATCAGAACGGTCTTTAAGCTCATGAGAGGGGATTGCCAGATTTGTGATTGGCAGTTTTCAATCACTTCACGTATAATAAATAAAGAAACTTCTTAAAGCAGCCTTGGGAGTCACTAATGTCTTCCAGAGGGAAACTATTCTGATCAAATAACAAAAGGGTGTCGGGAGATGGTGATGGAAACTCAAGTTGGCCTCCTCTGCCTGGCTTTGGGCAGGACTGGATGGAACTTTTAACAGATTTCATTTGGTTTACTCACCAACAGATGTAATTAACAGTGCCATTTGCTGGGGGAGGGCGTTGAGAAGAGAGCTCACAGGAAGACAACCGTTACTGAGTAGAATGCATTTATCCTAACTTGCAGCAGGAGCCCAGGAGTTGCTGTGCACGCACCATGCCACCAGGGGGGGACGTAGCAATGCTATCAGGGGCATTTGGCCTTTGCTCAGTTGGGAGTTTCCAGTGTTCTTAATGTCCTCAATACTGGTTTAGTCAGCATGCTTAATAAATGTAAAGATACTACAAACGAACCCATGTTGGTGGGCTAGAGAAATAAAAACCAACAAAGTCAAGTCAACAGGCTGTTCAATTTGAAGACGAACCTACTCAAGTTGGACCACAACTTTGTTTTGATTCCCGCTGGTCTCTTTTAGAATTACTCAGTGGGGGCGAGTTGGTCCCCTGCCCCTGCGTGAAAACCTCCATAATCCTAGGGCTTGTTTTTAATCATTCTTTGGTAATAAAAAAATCCTACAGCCACTTTAAGTCTCCAACACAATCCCAATTAAGAAGTTAGAATATCCAGTCTTGTAGAATAATCAACTCCTAGAATCAGATTGAAAGGTGACACTTTTCAGGACACCTGGGTGACTCAGTCAAGCATCTGCCTTCGGCTCAGGTCATGATCCTGGGGTCCTGGGACTGAGCCCTGCGTTGGGCTCCCTGCTCAGCCGGGAGTCTACTTTTCCCTCTGCCCCTCCCCTGCTCATTTTCTCTCTCTTTCAAATAAAATTTTAAAAATAAATAAAGGTGACACTTTTCCCTTCACCCCTCTGGGGCCTTCTGCAGCCAAGAAGCTGGAGGAGGGGGCAGGGTCCATCTGTTCCTTACCTCCACCTAGTGTTTCCAGCTGTCTGCCGCCATTTCACTAGCCATGGTTTGTTCCTGGGTCAAGGCAGGCAGAGGGAAGAGAAGTAAGCAGGGGAAGAGGGAGAAAAGTTCTTCCCTGACTGATCATCTCTTAGGGTAGCTTCTCTCTTTCTGAGCTAGGCTGTGAAACTGAAAGCTGCCTCTCCTTGGTCTGGGGTGCTCTCTCAGTGCTTCAGAGACCCACCATCCCCCATGCTGGGGACCTCTCACCTGAAGTTCCTTCATCAGCTGAAACTCCAGCTCCACATCACAACTCCTGCCGCTCCCTGCTGAAGCCTAAGAGCCTCTAGGTGGCCCTTTTGGACAGGAGCTAAGTTTCTTTCCCCTTTCCTCGCCTCTTCTCTTTCCCTCTCCCTCCTCCCTACCCTTCCCTCCTCCTCCCCTGTCTTCCCAGCACCTCCTCCTCCCCCTCTCCCTACCCTCTTTTCCCCCTTCCCCCTCCCTTCCCCATCCCCCAGCGCTGGCCCACTCAGTCTCAAGTCTACTCCAAGCTGCAGGAGATGTGTGTAAAGCTCTCTGAATGAAGACTTTTCAGTGAGAAAGCAACTTTGGGGTGAGAGGGGCTTTTAGACTGCCTTCCAGGAAAACCCTCTTCACACCTCTTCCTCCCAGTCCTCAACCCCCTGATATTTTGTCATGGGGAACAGCTGGTCCGCATGCGTGTGAAGAGTCCAGCAGTAGCAGTAACACCCTGGCGCCACTTACTGATGCCATTCACTCCCCAGGAAAGCTTAGCTTGGCCCCCCTTCCTCTGGCGCTGGTCCTCCCCTCAGCCGTGTATCTGTTCTGCCCAGAAGGTCGGCCTGGGGTTCGGTGAGCAGCTGCACTTGGTGCCACACTAAGCCCTAGCCTCCAGCTCGGTGTCTTGTAGTAACAACGGAGAGATTTTGGCCTTGCTCTGCTACCTTTCATTTTGTTTCCCAATTTGTTCAGAACCTGGTGGGGAAGAAGGTGCTGTGTATTGACCCTCTCTTTCTACCTTGAATGTAGGCAAAGGACTTGAGTCATGTTACCACTTTCTGGATACTCCTTCTGAAGGTCTCTATCCTTTTATGGCTTCTTTCTTTTGCTTGTCATATATTTTATCTTGATGCCTCAGTGAGAACTTCTTATTTAACATCTTGAAATGTGTCATATGGGAAATAACTAGCTAAAAGCTTTTAGAGTTTTCTTGAGGAATAACTGATGATAACAACTATTTGAGGACATATATATATAGCCCAGAAATGAGTATCTTTTAGATAAAACTTTAAAATACTTCAGAAAGGGGCGCCTGGGTGGCTCAGTTGGTTAAGCGACTGCCTTCGGCTCAGGTCATGATCCTGGAATCCCGGGATCGAGTCCCGCATCGGGCTCCCTGCTCAGCAGGGAGTCTGCTTCTCCCTCTGACCCTCCCCCCTCTCATGTACTCTCTCTCTCTCATTCTCTCTCTGTCAAATAAATAAATAAAATCTTAAAAAAAATAAAATAATAAAAAAATAAAAAATAAATAAAATACTTCAGAAAGGGTAGAGCCTAGGAGTCTCAGTCAGTTAAGCGTCTGACATCCAACGTCAGGCTCTTGATTTTGGCTCAGGTCATGATCTCAGGGTCGTGAGATCGAGCCCCATGCCCAGCTCCATTCTGTGTGGAGCCTGCTTAAGAGTCTCTCCCTTTCCCTCTGCCCCTTCCCACTGCTTGCTCATACACGTACATGCTCTCTCTCTTAAAAAAAAAATAATAATTTTTAAAAAATAAAAATAAAATAAAATACTTCAGAAAGAAAAAGGGCTTTCAGGGAGACTCAAATTTTTTCTTGACTTTGCTAAAGACTAGCTATATGACCTTGGGAAAGTTGCTCCATCTCTCCAAACCTATTTTTTTCATTTATGAAATAAAAAGTCTGGCCTAAAAGTCTCTCAGGTCCTTTTCCAACTCTTACCATGAATCTGTGAGACCTTGAAGGGAATTGGGAGAACTTTTCTGTTGCTAAGTAGGCAATGCTGCTGATATGGCATGGGGGTTAACACACAGGCTCCCGAGGTATTCATGAATGTGGCCCTTCCTCTACTCACTCAGACACAAACACTTACTGA